GAATAAGAATGCATGGCTATTTACACCTCACTGGAGCATCAGAAGTATTCTGTTATATTTTTACATAGTTGAAGCTTATCAAATTGGAAAAATTATAATCTGGTTTCAAATGCAGATTATATCCTACAGATCCACACTGAATAAGATTCGAGAAAATTTTATGAGAAATATGAGGACATAAACATTTTTGAGAAAAAATAAAATCAATAGAATTAGTTTGCATTTTCAAATATTCAAGATCCATTTCAAATGAATAAAATATTGAATAGGTAGACAATAACACAACAGCAGCAACAATAATAGGACACTAAACCGTACATAGTTTTTTTCAATTGACTCTAGTTCAAGGAAAAACTGGAGAATATGTGTCACTCTTTCTATCTGAAATATACACAGCAGTAAAATGTCCATGTGAATTTTAATGCATACCATAGCAACCATCTCTTTCACAGTGATGTTGAATTCTGACAGGACAGTGTCCTCTGTGTCAAGTTTGCGCTGCCAAGTCAAAGACGGATGTTTCCCAGGGTTGACCATAACCTTGAAAGAGAAAGTAAGGAAGCCAGAGTTTAAAAAGTAGTTAAACAATAGAAATGGGTATACTTTTATAATAACAATTAGCACACTGCTAAAATGGGTATACTTCTATAATAACAATTAGTACACTGCTAAAATGGGTATACTTATATAATACTGTAACAATTAGTATACTGCTAAGGGGTCTCTTACTAGAATTGAAATTGAAACCCATTAACTATTTTCTTCACATGTTTGATCAAAACTCAAATTTGCATATCCACTATAAGTTGGTTACAAAGTTGTACAAAAATATGGATACACTGAGATTGAGAGGCCAATGTAAATTCAACATCTTTGATTGCCTGGTTTTGAATATTGTGATAAGTCAGCCTGCTTTTCCAACCAATCAAACTGAGGTTCTGGCCTCTTAAACAATAAAAATCTTTCTTCACTGTGGCATTCCAAGTTTTCAGGCAGCATGAATAAGTTATAATCACGAGGTTGCTCTCTAGTTCAAAAGAAACACTTTGATGCCATGCAGAGAAGTGTTAAAGCTGAGCATTTCTCAAAATACATAACAGGACATCAGGAAAATGGGGGAAAATGTCACAAATGAACAAAAAATAATAATTGTTCAGCAAATAGCATAAGTAGCATATAACACTGAAATGTCAAATGTGTGTTTTCACTAAAAACTTAAACTATTAGTGCAAATACACACAGATTACTTTATAGTTTATTCACATCACCAGTAATTGGGCTGAATACTGGTTGATGGGACTTTATGTCTACTCTAAATCTCTAATACAATATTGACATATTTGCTCTATTTCAACTAAAAGTACACATTCATTGCCTTATATTTGCTCACAATCATATAACTTACCTTGTCATGCTCAGAAGATTCACCTTCTCCGCCATGAAAACCATTAGCCAACATAGTTCCTGAACGGCAATAAGATCAGCCAATCCACTGCTCCTTAGCTTCAAAATTAAGCAAAGAAACGATACAGATAAAATCATCCACAACAGCAAATACAACTGGATATTAATCCCTTGTTTAACAACAACGACAGCAAAAATAAAACCTTCGATCAGTGAAGGCGGATCAAATGGCGATGATCCAATTTTTTCTTGGTTAACAGATACGGACCGGAAAAAATAACCGCAGTAATTGCAGAAACAAAGGAGAAAAGAGAAGTGAAAGCGCTTTATGTCGATTAGCGCCGGATCAGAGAAGAGATTGGGGCGAAATGCAACATGAGATTGCGAAAGCTAACCTGAGTGGATGAGCAAAGTGGCAGTTAGCGATTAGCAGATAGAGAAGTTGAAAGCGTACTGATGAAAAGAAACGTTGCGGCATAATACTGGCACTGTGGTCTGTGAACGCCCTTTATGTGCTTGTCTTGTCTGGCACTCTGGCAGTTGGCAAAGTATGGTGGGGACCACGACCTAAAACGACGTCGTCTAAATTTATGAGCTAGAATAATTTACATTATGAGTTAAAATAATAAAATTTCTAAGATAAAAGATAATATATTTCATGAGTTATAAAAATATATGTTAAAGTAAATCGCGTGAAAAATAAAATTACATGAAACAATGTCCTTTTTAGATCGTAACTCACACAACTATATGGACCACGGTCCACTCAATAACTATTGCTGGCAGTTACTTTGTTCAAGCCCAATCACAATGTTTTGTTTTTTTTTTTTTTTGGGTTGCATAATAGCCCCACCATTTTTCTTAAATTCCATATCTTTCAAGCGAGTTAGATAAGTGTAAACTCCAAACTTAATAATTTTTCACCACTATTTTGCCCTATATATGAATGAAGGCGATAAATAGTGAAATGTATCTCAACTAATCACGGTCTACACAATAATTTGCCTCAACTTATTTACTTTCCTTTTTCTTTTTCTTTTTATAAAGTTTTGACTGGATGATTGGCCCGTTATGCTGTGAAACCGTGTCGACCTTGCAAGGTGGACACGGTTCTATGTTTATAATTACTGAACTATATGTTCATAATTATGAAGATATATATTTATAAATTTTGAACTTCATATTTATAATTATTGAACTCTATATTCACAATTACAGAATTCTATGTTCATAATTACAGAACTATATGTTTATAATTATAAAATTATATATTTATAATTTTTGAACTTCATATTCACAGTTATTGAATCTCTATATTCATAATTACAGAACAATATGTTCATAATTATGTTCACAACTCTATGTTTATAATTATATAACGGCAAATTATACTGTGCATCCGTATGCACCATGCATGGTGCATACGGATGCAAAAACGACGTCGTTTTAATAAAACGCGCGTCTCCCCTTAAAAAAAAATCAGGTTCGATTCCCAGCAACAACATATGAACTAAAATTCCATAATCGATGAACTATAATTCCATAATCTAATCTATGAACTAAAAATTCAAGAATGAATGAACTAAAATTCCATAATCTATAAACTAAAATTTCAGAATCGATGAACTACAATTCCATAATCGATGAACTATAATTCCATAATCAATGAACTATAATTCCATAATCTATGAACTAAAATTCCAGAATGAATGAACAATATAATGTTGTTGCTGGGAATCGAACCTGAATTTTTTTTTAAAGGGGAGACGCGGGTTTTTTAATAAAACGACGTCGTTTTGGCATCTGTATGCACCATGCATGGTGCATACGGATGCACATCATAACGATTGTTATATAACTCTATATTTATAATTATGAACAATTTTAGAACCGTAACAATTTTAGAACCATATCCAATTTGTAAGGTGGACACGTTCGACGTGCAATTTATATCCTACACCACGGCGCGCGTTGCACTATACGCCCAGATGCAAAACGACGTCGTTTTAATTATTTTTTTTTTTGAAATTTCCCGTCCCAGTGAATGGCAGTAGTTTTTTTTTTTTAAAAAAAACCCGCTGTTCAAGAATGTACATAATGTTATACTAGAATACACATAATGTTATACATGAATGTACATAATTATATAACAAAATATACATACTCTTTTTAAAAGATAATACACATAATCTAACATAATACATAATAAACATAAACTTTTAACATAATACACATCAACTATTAACATAATACACACAAATTTTCTGATTCGGATGTACATAATTATATAAAAAGAATGTACATAATTGTATAAAAAATACACATAACTGTATGAACCAATACACATAACGTTGTGAACAAATACACATAACGTTGTGAACAAATACACATAATCTCAGCAACTTCCTATCGCGCCTCCCAACACTACCCCAAAACGACGTCGTTTTGGGAGGCGCGCGGCGCACAGTGCTATGTGCGCCGTGGTGTAGGATATAACGATTGCGTTCGACGGCATAATTTGCCATGATTGGCTTGGGTAGCCCAATGGGCCCATTTAAGCGATGTAGTGGGCTAAATCAAATCTCAATTTTATTTATATATTTATTTATTTTCAAACTAGTGGACCCCATGCAGCCTTCTCTCATTCCTTTCGCGCGAGACGTTGGTCGTTGGCCGTTACAAATATTCTCCATGTTTTATTTGTTTAGTTAGTCAATAATCACCTGCTTAGCTTCATAATAATAAAAGTTTTATTTCATTGAAAATATGCTCCCTACTTTGATTGTCGTGAATGAGAAAAAAAATGAAATTGAAAAAAAAAAAAAAAAAAAAAAAAGTAGTGAAAGGACAGTCGCATTTGTAGGGGACGCCTGCAAATCGGAGAATCAGCGTGCATTGACTCCATTGTTGTCCCTCAAAGGTTCAGTTTTATTTTTGGGATTACCGACAATACAGGAGAAGATACAGATCGGAGATTCCTGCCCCCATTCCGCATCTTCTTTCTCATTCTTCTTCTTCTTCTTCTTCACATTTTTTCTCTATGAAATAGACGCGACTCTGTTCAATTCGACCGGAATTATTGATTTTATTCCGATGTGACATGCGAACACCGGGGCTTTGATCCCAGCGTTCGCATTTCAGGATCTGGGTTTTGTTCTTGCCCGCGTTTGAGATCGTCGTATCCAGGTATGTTTGCCACATTTTTTATTTTCTTTTTATGAATAGAGAAACTTGCATTTACTCTACGAGGGTTTGTATGATCAAATTAAAAAGGCGAATAGGTAGCTTATTGTGGTTATCAAGTCAACAATCGTATCCTCTTAGTTAGGGTTCCACCTCTCTCTATCGAGGGGGTGCAATTGTGATTGAGATGCAAACTTGTAATATTGTGATTGAGATTGTCTCTGTTTCCCACATTTAGATTTTGAAGCTTATTGCCATGAGTTTTATGACATGAATGGGATTGAGTCGTTATTTGTTTTCATTTGAAATCAGGGATTCATTCGATTTCGTGGGCTGCGGACAAAAGTTTTGTTATTTGATAAATAAGTATATATAATACATTGCCCTTTGTGGGTTGAAGGTTTTGGAAAGAGATGCTTATGAAAGAAGGCTAAATGCCGAAAGCAATGGGGTTGGGGAAAATTAGGACAGGTCTTAAGACAAGGATAATGGGGTGCATTTGCGCCAAGGGGGGAGGCTCAATGAAGAAGCTAACCACCCGGAAGCACAACAGCAAAGGGAAAGACAAAGAAGCAAAGAGGCAGGCTTCAAAGCGCAATTGTAGAAAAGAAGACATAGTGTTGGAGGTGGAGGATGGCACTCCGGAGGTCTCTGCCCTCATTGTTTCTGATGAGAAAACTGTAGTTCCTGCGCCACAGGGTGGTGGTGGTGGGTTGGATGAGAAGGAGAAGAAGCGTGTGGTGCCAAAGATGAAGAAGCACCACACCATGGATGTGGGGGGAGGAGGATTGGAGCCTCAGATAAATAGGATGTTCAGTGTGAAGAATGGAGTTGATGGGGCACAGGTTGTTGCTGGATGGCCATCCTGGCTCACTGCGGCCGCAGGGGAAGCTATCAAAGGCTGGGTTCCAAGAAAGGCAGACGCATTTGAGAAGTTAGATAAGGTATATATATATATGCTCAACTTCAAACACATGACTAAATTTTAACCAGCTTGGTTGGCGTGAGTGGTCGTGCACTCTCCCCCTTAAGAGAGGTCGAGAATTCGAACCCCCTCTCATATAGAAAAATCAATTTGTGCCCCTTAATATGGCCGGGCCGGTGCGAACGGGATTAGTCTGAGTACGGTACGGGTACGGGCTTAAAGGTGCCTCCTACCGTTAGGACCTGTTCAGGCACCTCGTGGTCTGACAAAAAGAAAATTAAATTTTTTCCACTTTTGGTCTCACCACTATGGGACCATTTCGATCTACATCTGGTCCCCGACTATTAATTTTTCTACATTTGATCCCTCAGCTTTTAAATCCTTGTCACATTTGGTCCCTCCGACCTTTCAAGCAAGTGACTTATCTTGAATGGCAAAATCATCATTTAAACCCCCTCCTAGAGATGTTTAAGAAAAAAGTAATGGAAAATGATAATTTTGCCCTTCTTAAGATAAGCCACCGGTGACTGAAAATTAGGTCAGAGGGATAAAATTTGACAAGGATTTAAAAGCCATGTGAACAAACATAAAAAATAAAAAATAAAAAATTAATAGCCGGTGATCAAATATGGAAATGATCTCATAGTCATGGGACCAAAAGTGGAAAAAAACTCTTTCTATCCATTCTCAAATCCAATTTTGAGTATTTTTGTGGTTCATTCTACTCTTCTTGCTATTGCCTTACCTGTGTGTATTGTAGTTGATTACTGTGGTGTAGTATGAAACTATATAATGTTAGATATAAATATATACTAACACATACTTAAATCACAAAGAGCCTAACCTTGTAATAGTAGCAGAAGCTTTAGAACGATCGGAATGTCTTTTGCCATAGTTGATATTGCCATTGGTGTTGTTGCCTTTGGAGTAGTAGACCTGTAGAGAAACGTCAGTCGTTTTGTCTACCACTTCTCTCCTGAATACTAGGTGGTGTAGTGCATTCGGTTTACATAAGCTATGGGAGAACCGTTTTGTGTAGTGCATTGTGGTGTATTATGAAACTATATAAATCTTGAAAGATGAGAACTTTAGGGATGTTTTTAGCTTTCCAGTAAGGATACTTTTAGCCACTTGTCTCTAGGTATACTTAGTTTTGATTGCTTCTGATCTTTCTCTCAGTCTTTTCTTCTTCATGAACATGATGCAGATTGGTGAAGGGACATATAGTAGTGTGTACAGAGCCCTTGACCTTGACAATGGAACTATAGTTGCACTAAAGAAAGTGCGGTTTGGCAACATGGATCCAGAAAGTGTTCGTTTTATGGCAAGGGAAATTCTCATCCTGCGCAGGCTGGACCACCCGAATGTTATGAAGCTCGAAGGTCTTGTGACTTCTCGGGTTTCAGGCCAGCTACATCTTGTGTTCGAGTATATGGAGCATGACCTTGGCGGCCTTTCTGCATCACCAGACATCAAATTTGATGAATCACAGGTCTGCACTGGTGCACTTGCATCTGCTATAAAAGAAAGTAGCTCTGATCTATTCACTTCTAACTTTGGGTTTTGAATCATGATGAGCAGATAAAATGTTACATGCAGCAGCTCTTTCGCGGGCTGGAACACTGCCATAGTCGAGGGGTTTTGCACCGTGACATCAAGGGCTCTAATCTTTTGATTGACAACAATGGAACTCTCAAGATAGCGGATTTTGGACTTGCAACGTTTTACCGTGCCAATCAAGTGCAGCCTCTAACAAGCCGTGTGGTCACATTGTGGTTTCGGCCTCCAGAGCTTTTGCTTGGTGCTACTAACTACAGCGAGGCTGTGGATATATGGAGTTCTGGTTGCATCCTTGCTGAATTGTACGCGGGAAAACCTATCATGCCTGGAAGGACCGAGGTGCTTGTTTATTTGGAAGTTTTCGATTACTACATTTTGGTTGGTGGTTGGTTTTCTTGCTCTGATACCCTTCTAAGTTCTGACTATCTGCAGGTTGAACAGCTGCATAAAATCTTTAAACTTTGTGGTTCTCCATCTGATGAGTTCTGGAAGAATTCGAAATTGCAGAATGCAACGATTTTTAAACCTAAGAAGACTTATGAACGCCGCATTGCTGAGACATTCAAGGACTTGTCTCCATCGTCTTTATCACTTCTGGATTCTCTCCTGTCTTTAGAACCTGAGCGTCGAGGAACTGCAAGTTCAGCACTGGAAAACGAGGTAACCTAAACAAAGTTTTTGGTTTTGGATTTCTAGAATTCTTGAGTAGTCTTGTCCGTGTTTATTGGGATTACATGCCTGGTTTTCTGTTCTCAGTTCTTCACAACAACGCCTCTTCCGTGTGATCCATCAGCACTGCCAAAGTACCCACCTTGCAAGGAATATGATGCTAGGATGCGAGATGAGATGCTCAGAAGGTATACTAATCTTTCTTTCAAATTAAAGCAGCAGACACTTGTTTCTTGTCAGAAAAGGCAGATTTGAATGATTCTCACTCGAGAAATGTTTATCTTGATGTCAGGCAAAATGGCAGCGGGTATAAGTGTAAAGATTCTGAAGGGGCTACTCCAGCGCCTGGTGATCTCGCGAAGCTGCAAGATGCAATAAAGGTACATTTTCTGGTTTTCAAGATCTGTTGAGAACTGCATGTCCCTATCTGGAAATGTATATGCACATTTTTTCGCTTTACTTTGCATGGGATGTGGCAGAAATGGCAAGGGCAGTTGAAGCTGAAGAAATGCGGGGGGATGAGTGAAGTTGATAATTCAAGGCGTCTTGGTGGTTCAGAGTTGAGCCGACATGTATCCTTCAAAGCTCGGGGAGGAGGAGTGGGGCAACTACCGATGTTCTGCAGCTCAGCAGCCCCCCACCCCGCTGCTATTGGCCTGGATCTCTGCCGGGAGGACATCAGTGTAAATTCACACTGGCACCGCCTCGCTATGAAATGTAATCGAGTCATTGATAACGAGTCTGATCATCACTACCAGAATGATGAGCAGAAACCTAGGAAGGATACTATGATGGTAAATACTAAATAGTCAGTTTCCATCATCATATGAAGAAAAAAAACAAATTTTTTGCAGCCTTGCAGGGTTGCAGTCTGATGATCATTTCGGGGTTTTTTCACTGCAGGGCTATGTTCCACAGACTGGTCACATACACTACTCTGGGCCATTGATTCCAGCCGGAGGAAACATAGACGAAATGCTCAAGGAACACGAGAAGCAGATCCAAAACGCTGTGCGCAAAGCTCGCCTTGACAAAACTAGCAAGGCAAAGAAAGGCAACATTGACTATGGACAAACCGAATCTCTCTTGCAGTATGTTGGCAACGCCAGCTAACTTCTCGGGTTTCAGACAAGATTCATACTTAACGGTCACGAGGAGTAAATTAACCCCGAGCTGCCAGAGGGGGAATGCTGCAGAAAGAGGACTAACAACACACCAATATGTTGAGGATGATCAATAAAGACTCCTGTGAGAAAATCGTCGTTTCTTTTACTTATGTATATATACATGTCGTCGAGCAGAAACTGTTCTTCGTTGGGTTTTTCTACACGATTAATATAATCCTTCTCTGTATGTAACTGTTTGTGTAGGAGATTTATAATGTTAATATGTTATACCTATATATAGAGCCAGATTCAGATAGTATCAAGAATGGTTCCTGCACAGAAGTCTTTCTTGATTGCTTGAACAGTGTGAACACACACTTCAGCTGGAATGTAGGAGTCTGGTATATCTGAAAATTTTGTACCTTCTCAAGTGTAATCTGTTATTGTAACACTATCATTAAACTCTTCATGGGAATCTAGGATATACTGGTTCCTATGTTGATAGTTTAGTGTTTGTTTGAAGTACAACATGGGGAAATCATCTGCAAGTTTTCATACAAGCTCCTCTATAGTTTCTTGTAATTGTAACTCAAATCATCTTTAATATATTTTTTAAAAAAATTTATAGTAGTTAAGTATTGAAATTTTCTATATTTAAAATAAACTTGTTTGGAAATCTGAAAAATGACTTTTGGAAAATGAGTCATTTTCAATTTCCATAAAATATTTTTTTTTCCAGTGTTTGGTTGTATTTCAGAAAACCTGTCTTTGTCTGTTTAGATAATTTTTTAAAAAATGAGCAGAATTGTATTTTAAAAAATTAATTTTATTTATTAAAAAAAAAAAAAAAAAGAGAAATGGTTTCATTTAAAAAAAAATTAAAAAATTTGTCAAAATCTGGTTTCCTACTTACTAGTAAAACTTCTGGTTTCCAACGGAAACTAGTAAATGGTTTCCGTCGAGAACCAGATTTCTGATTCCGGATGGAAACTAACGAAGAAGATGGAGAATAAGAAAAAAGTTGATTTGGGTTTTCCTTTTTTTGGAAAAAAGTTGATTTGGGTTTTCCTTTTTTTGGAAAAATGGGTTTGTGTTCCTTTGATCAGAAATCAATTTCCGTTGATCATCATCTGATCTTCTCCTATTTCCAAACACTAGAAACTCGAAAAATGATTCCCGGATTTCCAAACACATCCTAGTGGGAAAAAAATTTGTCAAGGTATAATCTTTCTTTGTTTTATGAAAAAGCTTGCGGTTACTACTTAAGGGTGTGTACTAAGTGAAACTCATCCCCATGGCAAGCCCAGACGGATCAGCTCAACTAAGAGGCCAAGAGGAAAATAAGGTTACAACTAGCTAGGTTTCTTGTGTCGCTTAATTTCTTTGTTTCACAATTACTAATCAAGGATGTACATTGACCGAGTAAAAATTTCGACCATGTGCGGTAGGTTCAATCAAGATGGTGTTAACAAGAATGATCTTGTCACTATTAAAGTACGAGAATCATGATCCACGTACTCGACCACCTCTTTTAGAGCTTAATATTCACAATTTGCATATAATATTGAATATACTTAATAATATAAGACTAATTCAGATTCGACCTCCACGTGCATATCGAGTAACACTATACGACTCTTACTCAGACTTATCATTCACTTTTAACTTCCAAATTATACCATCATGTACCATACCATAAATATTTTATGTCTATGCAAAATTAATCACTGTAAGAAAGGGTTCACCAAGCTAAGCTATGAAAAACATTTGATGTTCCCAACATTTTCAAGTCACCATCAAATAGTTAGCTAGTAACATGTGGAAATTAAATGACCAACAAACGACCAGTTAACTAGATTATACATCGTATACCTTCAAAGAAAAGATTATACATTTTATAATTAAACAATATATATGTTTAAGGTTATGAGCACAAATTGCACAATACAACTCTAGCCAAGTTGGTTGGACAATTAACTTGATAATCATAATGTTTCAAGTTCAACTCTAGTTTACCATCTTGTTGGATCTCAGCACTGCACTATGCTAAATCACTTACCCATAAATGTGACTATTGTAAGTCAAGCACGCTTAACCACAACGCCACGAGCAGGGCTGAACTGGGCCGACACCTAACTCATCTTGTGGTCCAAAACGAACTTCACCCAAAGTGCACTCTTCAGATTTTTCATCACAAAATTAAAGCAAAATCAACATCCATTGCATCACCATCATATGTCCTTCTGAAAATCTCTTACCAACCTTACAGATCTACCAACAAGCAAGTAGTATACATACACCACCCAATGTTGCTTCATCCAAACTCTTTCTAGTTGATCTCTTGTCTGCATCACCAAATTAAACCTCTCAAAATCTATATATCTATCCCCCTTTACCCCTAACCCTGTGCATATATGCTCAAACACAACACTACAGTTTCCCCATCACAATTCTGGGAAATAAAAAATGAGGCCAAAAACACAATCCTCAGTACTCAACCTTAGACTCCTTCTCATCTGCATCTTCATAGCCTTCCTCATCCTCTTTGTAATCAAGTCATCAATAGTCTCATCTCCTGCAACAACAACCCAATCTTCTCCTTCTTCTTCTTCGTCGAAATCTCAAACATTTTTGCCCAGAAAAGAAGCAAGATTATCCAGCAAGAACTGCAACAAGAAAATCCCAGCATCAGTGGCAAAAGCTGTGATCCATTACTCCACCTCAGCCATCACCCCCCAGCAGACCACCAAGGAAATCTCAGTAACCTCAAGAATCCTGGAACAAAAGTCCCCATCAAACTTCCTAGTATTCGGCCTCGGCCACGATAGTCTGATGTGGCACACCCTCAACTATGGGGGCAGGACAGTGTTCTTGGAAGAGGATGAAGCCTGGATTCACCAGATCACCAGGAAGTTCCCCATGCTGGAATCTTACCACGTCACCTACGACACCAAAGTGAGCCAAGCCGGGGATCTAATGGAGATCGGGAAGGGACCAGAGTGCACGGCCATTACAGATCCCAGATACTCCATGTGCCAGTTGGCTCTGAAAAGCCTGCCTAGTTTGGTGTATGAGGTCCCGTGGGACTTGATCATGGTGGACGCCCCCACCGGGTACCACGACGAGGCGCCCGGGAGGATGGCGGCGATCTACACCGCCGGGATGATGGCCAGGAACCGCCGGGAGGGTGGTGGGGAGACGGAGGTTTTTGTGCATGATGTTAACAGGGTGGTGGAAGATAAATTTTCTAAGGCGTTCTTGTGTGAAGGTTATATGAAGAAACAAGAGGGGCGTCTTCGGCATTTCACCATCCCGAGTTATAGGAATCATTTGGATATGCCGTTTTGCCCTTAGGTTTCTTTGTTTTAATTCCTGTTTTGCCCTGGTTAATTGCATTGGCTATTGAATCTATATATATTGGCATTGTATTACTCATCCGTTGTATGTTAATAATGATCACGTACTACCCCTCGTACATTAACTTATCTCTCGTTGTGATCCTTCCGTGTTGTCTTCCACAATAACTTTGATATATTGGTTCAATATCATAATAGTTTAATTGTTTAAATACAATTAATAACACTAAAAATATCCTCAATAGTCAAATTTTTACACCAATTTTAAGATACCACTTAGGAGTCAGGAGAGGAGGGGGATAAAAAAAAGAAAAAGAAATGACAGAGCTAGGTTAACAAGCCCAACGTGCGCTTATGCACACGTCCGATTGGGCATTGCTGTCTCCGCAGCTGGCGTGCACCCGAAGGAAGGCAAGTTTCTTTTATTTTTGAGCGGGTCTCACTTTGAAGACAAAAATCAAGTTCTTAAGTTAAACCTTAAATATTCTCTCTCTCCTTTCTCCTTTCTCGCTTTCCACATGTGTAAACCTACCACAAAAAACCAATGAAAATCCCACTATTTGGAATGCTCTAAGAGCATCCACAATTGTGGACTTCTTTTGCGGTTTTTGAGGAGTTTTTATAAGTGATTAAGAAAGAGAATATGAAAGGGGAGAGAAAAAGAAAAAAAATAAAGGAAAATTAATTTTTTTTAAAAAAAAATTAATAACCCTAGTTGTTTGACGCACCCGTGTTGGCAGTTGTTGTGTGCGAAATGCCCACAGCCAATGCCCTTTCCTCTGACCAGACTATTGTTCCAATAACCCTTCTCACCAGATGAATTCAAATCCTCTCTCTCTTTTACCTTCTCTCTCCAATTTGTCAGAAATCAGAAATATCCTCAAGAAACCATTGATATTGATGCTCTAAGATTATTAATAATTTGTAGAGCGAATTTCTTTTTTTTTTTGGTTATAGACTTATAATGACATGAACAATTTTAGTCTTTTTTACACAAATTTGTCACATTTTGAACACTTTTATTGTAACAACAAAGGCAATTTTAATCATCCGTCTATAATCCCGTTAGTTGATTGTATTAAAGGGAGGTCTTTTTGTCAATTAAGCCTATCGCCTTGTTATGGACTAATTTTTATTTAGGGATTCCCTTTTATTTATCATGGGACTAATTTTTATTTATCATGCATTAAAGTAATGTTTAAAACTAAACATTTGTACACCAAAAGGGTAGAACAGGAATCTTATTTCAGGATACTTTCCTTTGGCTTGTACTTTCAGAAGGACATAAACAGACACGTCACAGAGAATTCCATTCTCTTCTTCGTCTCAAAGTCTACAAAGCGTTGAAGACAACCAACCGAAGGAGCGGAGCGGAGCAGAGCAGATCAGAACTCCATTCAGCAAAGGGGAAACATGAGTACTGAATAGTGAGCTTCATTCTCCTTTTCATCTTCCTTGATTTCATCGAACTGATTTGAGCATTTTACCTTCCTTGCTTAATTTTCGATTTTGGGATTTTTTAAATAAAATTTTTGCAGCGATTATCTGTTCAAACTGTTGCTGATTGGAGACTCTTCCGTGGGAAAGTCTTGCCTTCTTCTCAGATTCGCCGTATGTTTATCTCCTTCACCACTCGTATTGATTGATTTGTGCATAGACGCATCCTTATCTGAATTGCCTCCTGATATTTGTATGCGTATCGGTTGTGTCTTTGAAGGAGTAGAGTCTGTAGCTGCTGGCTTTTTTGTTATGTTTGTTCACTAGGGTTTGAATGGCTAGAGTTGTGTTTTTTGCTTTGCTTATGGGAAAAAAAACTTATATTTGCCTAAAGTTAGTTGCTTTGATGAATATAATTATGTGGTATTGATGGTGTTTAATTGATTATGTCAGGATGATTCATATGTTGACAGTTACATTAGCACGATTGGAGTTGATTTTGTAAGACAACGTCTCAACCTGCTTAAACTTCAGTTTCTTTTTGTTTGGACTTTTTTTGTTTGTAAGAGATTTCCTCATTTTCCCTACTCTGCAGAAAATTAGGACTGTGGAGCTCGAGGGCAAGACAATCAAGCTCCAAATTGTGAGTATTTCTCTTTCTGTATTTTGGTAGATCCATAGGTACGTAGAATGAATACTTTGACTGGCCTATATCATTGTAAAACGAGTGTGACATACTTGGCTAGTACAGGAGTGACTGGCCTATATTTCCCATATGAGTTATAAGTCTTATAACCTCATTTGAAGTTTTGTAAATAAACACTTCTTTATTTGAGGGAGAATTTCCATGTTGTGATACCTTTAAATTTTGGTTTTACTAGTGGGATACTGCTGGCCAGGAGCGTTTCCGGACTATAACAAGCAGTTACTATCGTGGAGCACACGGGATTATTGTAAGATGTGCAATCTCATTATATTCTTTGATTGTAAATTTATGGAGTTAGAAATTATTTTAGTATCTGAGAAACCTTTATGGCTGACAATATATTTAGGTTACATGGCATTAAAGAAACGCAACTTCATTTGTTAGAATCCATGATAAAATGCCTTTAAGAGTTGCGTGACCATGCCACAATTATCTCTAGCAAAACCCTGTAGACCATACTCCCCCCGCCCTATTGCCAAGCCTACATTAACCAAATTGTTTGTAAAGTCAAGCCCAGAAGTAATGTTTGTCACGGACAGCTATTACAAGTTATGGATGCTCACTATTAAGGGAAATATGCATTTTTCTTTACCAAGGTTATGACTATCGTTGTAGGTTCCCCTACCCCAACAAAGACATTCTTCAAAGGTTGTTTTCTTTGTGTTTTGTTATTTGCATTGGAGATATATTGATGTCACTGACAATCTTATTCACTGAATAAATTTGTTTCCCAAAGACAGTAAGGTGTGTATGTATGTATGTATGTATGACTGTAGGTTGCTTTCTTTGATAGTTTTTAGGTTATTTAATCATAAGAATTTAGTTATGCAAGTTTTCTTTCTTTCTTCTAAACTGTTCATATACTTATTTATGCGTGATAGGTTGTCTATGATGTAACTGAAAAGGAGAGCTTCAACAATGTCAAGCAATGGCTGAATGAAATTGACAGATATGCAAATGAGAGTGTATGCAAACTCTTAGTCGGAAATAAATGTGATTTGGTGGAGAACAAAGTTGTGGACACAGAGACAGCAAAGGTACGACGTGTTTCTCCCATAAATTTCTAGTGATCATTTTCCCGTCCATATACCAGTATTTGGACAAAACAGCATTGTCTTCTGTCGAATTGCAGGCATTTGCCGATGAGCTTGGCATTCCTTTCCTTGAGACCAGTGCCAAAGACTCCATCAATGTGGAGCATGCTTTCTTAACCATGGCTAGCGAGATTAAGAAAAAGTAAGAACATCATTATTGACATTACCTCATACCTTACTGTTCCCAAAGACCCGACTTTGTACTGATTGATGCACAATATTTATTTTTATCATAATTACGGCAAGAACAATTCCGATCACTAGATCTTATGATCTTGGATTCATATTTGCTTCTGTCAAATTATTGCTGCAGAATGGGCACCCAGCCAGCTGGAAACAAGAAATCGGCTAACACTGTTCAAATCAAGGGACAGCCAATTGAGCAGAAGAGCAACTGCTGTGGCTAACATTGCTGTGATTTAGTTTCTGTTACTGTAAACAACATTGAACAAAAGTAGTTAAAATGTATCAGTATATTGTGTTGTGGACACTGCACAAATGGTCTCACAATGTTCTCTTCATCCCTGTAAACTGTGTGACAATTGTTGCCATCTGTACATTGCTCCGAACATGTATTGGTGACTTTCAGCCTGCAAAATCAGTGCAAATGATGTTTGTATTACACTGCTCCTTGCACTTTTGATAAACTTTGATATCCGGAGCCAAGTTACTTTCTCTTTTTAGTTTTTGAGTGACGAGGGAAATCCGAAGCCACTATCCAAGTGTGTGCACGGTAAACTTCGCCTTGTAACCCTAGTCGGCAAATGAATACAAGCAGGGTAAACCAGCCAAGGTTGTCTATAGTTGATCGGCTCAAATCATTTTCATTGGGAGTTGAACTTGAAATTTTGTGGTTCTTAAGACAACAGCCCCGCCTTATAAGCAAATGACTACAATAAAGTAAATCACTAAATCAGTCTAGATTGACTATAGCTGATCGGCTCAAATCACTTTCATTAAAAGTCGAACTTGACCAACTTGGTTGGTGTTATCACACGAGCTAAGTTACTTTCAAACTTTATATAGGTGAGTTCTCTCAACACCTGTATGAACTGTAAAGACATGCCTAAACCATCACATATTCACATTCATAATGACAGCCTATGAATGGGTGACAATAGTATCCTGTTATACAGAGTAACAGTAAAAGTGAAATATACAAGCATTCAAATTCAAACAATTATGCCAGCTATAAATACATACAAGAAATACAAGTTTTGTGGGGTTCACCATTTCACACCCTCGGGTAGTGGCTGCGGGTTTCCCTTGTCATCAGTCAAGATGCGGAGCAACAATTTCTCTTGGTATCTGTCACCTGTGCATCGACAACAAGAGTCTGTCCTTCTTTAATATGAGCACTGGTGGATTCTGAAGAAATCGACTTCTTACTAATTATCCGATAGATTTCAGAGAGGGCTGTCTGGAACGCGGTCTCTACATTGGTCGCCTCCAAAGCAGACGTTTCGATGAAAGACAGGCCTTCCTTCTCTGCGTAGCTCTCAGCATCCTCGGTGGCAACTGCTCGCAGATGCTTCAGGTCGGTCTTGTTTCCAATCAGCAGGATGACGATGTTTGAATCTGCGTGGTCTCTCAGTTCCTTCAGCCAGCGGCTGATGTTCTCAAAGGAAGTTGGCTTTGTCACATCGTAGACTAACAATGCCCCGAGCGCACCTCTGTAATAGGCGCTCGTTATGGCTCGGTATCTCTCCTGGCCCGCAGTGTCCCAGATCTGTGCCTTCACTGTTCTTCCCTCAACCTGTGCATATATAGTAATCTATGTGTTAAAGTCTCACATTGTGATAATAAGAGAGAACATATAGGTTTATAAGGTCATGGGTTAGACTAACTAATTGATTGAATTCGATCTTTAGTATGGTTTGACCCATGTACATTATAACCCAGTTGAGTGACCCTAGCCTAATCTTAAATTGTAACACTATTAAACACCATCTCTGCACAAACTTCATACTAAGATCAATGGTAGGAGCCATCGACACCAATAATGTGAATGCCACACACTAACTCTATCACCACTACTATACATCGCCTAATAGAAACCACGTGATAACTTTGTCGAATTAATTCAAGCTACATAAGAAAATCCACTCCCCCAGAACACAAACCAGTTACTCATCAATCATCCAGCTATCAACTGAACTATCATTTCTTCGTATACCATAATTCCTTTTCAAAACCGGATTTGAGCCCCTCCAACCGAACATAATATGAGTGATTGAGATGAATGTGGTCTCAAGGATACTTAAACACAAAATACAAGCACATTCATGTACATTTGACTAACGAGATTTGAAGTGTAGTTTAACGGTAAATTATGTAACACACTAGACTTCAAATCCAGAATTCCACCTCCCCACTCCCATTAAATGCATAAAAATGTGCATCTAACCACTATGTATGTATACACACAACTATTACTCCGTATTAAGAACCACAAAAATAATGGAAATTTATACTTTATTGTAAGGCACAATGTCTTAAGACAAAGAACCAATACCATTTACTACCCTTTTTGTTTTTTTTTTTTGGTAAGAGAGATACCCGCACCCATTACTCGAGGATGTAAGTGCACTAGGTAAACCTACTCTTGTATAATAGGACCCACATAAGAGAGGTAAACCAGAAGACCCTTACGACCAACTCGACTATGAGAGTGTTGATAAGAATTAAACCCGCCAGTTAGTTAAGAGAATTATGTTCCACTCACTTAGTCACTCAAAATTCAACTAAGAAAATTATGCACCACCAACTAGGTCAACAATTTCGGACCATTTTGTTTTTTTTTTTTTTTTTTTAGTACACACAGCAGTTTAAAATTTTCAATATAAATACTCAAATTACACAATATGTTTCTATAATTCGACTAAGATTTAATTTTTATCTAAAATTAAAAGGAAAATGGAGAAAAAGGAGGGACCTGAAGTGTACGGGTGGCGAATTCAACGCCGATGGTGGACTTGGACTCCAAGCAGAACTCGTTTCTGGTGAATCGGGACAGCAGGTTCGATTTCCCTACTCCAGAATCGCCGATTAGCACCACTTTGAACAAATAATCGTATTCCTCGTCGGCTCTCCTCGCCATTTCCTCGTCTCTTTCTCTCTCTTATTGATGGTCGTTGGTGAAGAAGACGATGGTCGATGGAACAGAGAGATTTGCTTTAAATGACGAGAATGCCCCTAGAACACGGAGTCAAATGCCGTATTGCTGTGCGCCGTTGGACTTCGGTTGGACTGGGAATTACGTAACCTGACAATGCGGGTCGGGTCTGACCTGCGAGGCCCGATCGCAAATTATGCCATGGAATCGTGTTCACCGAGAATGGTGAACACAAGGCAAAACGATGTCGTTTTTAGGTTAAAAAAAAAAATTTGTGGATGTGGAGTTAACGGCGCGCGTTTGATCAAATTATGAATTTTCTGTTATGAGATTATGAATTTTATGAAAATTCATAATCTCATAACAGAAAATTCATAATCGCATAACAAAAAATTCATAATCTCACAACTGAAAATTCATAATCTCATAACAGAAAATTCATAATCTTATAACAGAAAATTCATAATCTCATGGTTCCAAAGTGAATGTGTAGGCATGGTTCCAAAGTGAATGTGCAGGCATGGATTCATAATTTATGAATGTCCGTGATTTCGGACAGGAATATGTAGGCATGGTTCCAAAGTGAATGTGCAGGCATGAATTCATAATTTATGAATGTCCGAAATTATGAATGTAATGAAAATTCATAATCTCATAACAGAAAATTCATAATCGCATAACAGAAAATTCATAATCTCATAACAGAAAATTCATAATCTTATAACAGAAAATTCATAATCTCATGGTTCCAAAGTGAATGTGTAGGCATGGTTCCAAAGTGAATGTGCAGGCATGGATTCATAATTTATGAACGTCCGTGGTTTCGGACGGGAATGTGTAGGCATGGTTCCAAAGTAAATGTGCAGGCATGAATTCATAATTTATGAATGTCCGAAATCTTTGTTCACCTCAAATTAAAGTGAAATCGCAAAATGTGAAAATAAAGAAGAAAAGTCACGCAATTAATTAAGAAAAAAAAAAAAAGATAACGGTGTACTAACACCGTTGGAACCGTGTTCACCGTTGGAATGGTGAACACGGTTCCATGGCATAACGTCTGAGGCCCAATGGCCTGGTCCACCCGCCTCCAGTAGGCCCAAAAGTTGGTGGATCAGTTCGTTCATTCTTTATTATTATTATTATTATTTTACTGAATATTCACTATTTTATAAAAGATAAATTGTATATTTTAGATTCAAGTCCATCTTGCAAGGTGAATCCTGATATATGGTATAACAACTTAGTTTTATCCCTATATACTTATTATTACCACTACTCCAACATTCAGTAATCATTATACATAATACATAGTAATATATTATGTATTTTTATTAAAATATTTACTATATAGTATTTTAATATAAGCGGGACATCTCTGCCTCGCTTAGGTTAAGCGGGGCGGACCCTGAAACGCCCTATTTAGAGGGTTGTACAAATTATATCGTGCATCAGGATGTACAATGGCCAAAACGAAAAATCTCTGTTTCAATGAATTGTATAATAGAATACACATAAACTCTTAATATAATACACATAATCTAACATAATATATAATATACATAAACTCTTAACAAAATACATATAAACTCAAGTGTTAAAAAAATTGTAACGAGATTAAACAAACGGAGCAATGTCTGTCGCGTCAACTCCCCCACACAATTTATAAAAATCAATGTTTCTTTAGGCCAGGTGTATAATGCATTGTGCGCCCCGTGCGCGATATAACGATTGATAAAAGATTAGGAGGCGAGGCAGGCTTGACAGACAAAGCTCATTTTTATGCATCTTTTAAAAGTCTTTTTACATCAAATCCCCGGGGCTGAAATGTAAATTTGATAAAAATGTGGTACCGCAAACACAAATGTGCGGCAGCACTTCTTTGTAATTTTCAATTTCGTTCCCATTTACGTACACAGGCAGTAGTTTATTTCCAGGAAAAAAAATAATAATAATTGAGGGAGAGGGAGAATAGAAATGAGAGAGATCTTTCTTGAGGGGAAATCCTTGCGGTTTCTTCTGTTGCTCTGTTCAATTTCGTCGCAATTCATTTCAGGTTCGTTTATTGGATCTCTATACAATTGCTTTTCCCCCAAAATGTTTTTTTTTTAATAAAACAAAAAATCAAATTGAGATTGTTCAGAAGCAAGAATATATTTGTGTTTGTATTTGAATGCAAATTTAGAAACTTTATATTTGTTTTGGGAATTTGGTTTCCTTTGCGAAACCCCACTAATTGATTCCTGTTGCTGCTGTTTTAATGGTAATTTGATGTGAATTTGAGCTGCAATTATGTAACCTTATGCCCAAGAAGATGATCCTGTCTTCTGGTCTGTTAGTTTGATTGAGAAAAAAGAACAGGTAAAATTAGAGGGTACAAATGGAAAGTTTGAGGTTCATAGCTGCAGGTTCAATGTCATATTGCCCTTGCCCACAATTTATTATTGAGGAACCAACTGAGCTGCCCGTGCTGGGCGGTTCAATGTCATCTTGATCTTAGCTTTGGAGAGTTCTAGGATTAGTACCTTATTTTCTTTGTATGATTTGGTTATAAGATGGCCTTTCATATAATTAGTTAGTTAAGCTAAAGTGGGGCCAGAGGATTCTAGTTACGAGATGCAATGCATGTATATTTGATGCTTGAAATCTACGAAGAATGGACATTGGGTTAATGTTTGTTGATTTCGTGTTCTATGTTAATCTCTACCCTAGTTATACACTTGTTGCTTGTCTTAGCTTGTTCTTTCTTTGTAAAGGATGTAAAGATTTGATCTTGAATTGTTCCTTAGAATCATGAGCCTCTTGAGCTATGTCTTTCATATTGGCGATGGTTCGTTAATCTTTTGATAGAATTTAGCCAAATAGCTGTGTTTTATGTGCTCTTATTATCTGCTTGCAGGCTTTTCAGGCGATCCATCAGGTCCCAAAAATGAGAAAAAGGCCGATGATCACGCCTCTTCCAGCAGCACAGGTTCTAGAACACTCATAATATGCATCGGGCTTATAGCGTTTGCAGGGTTATCGTTTTTCCTTTTCAAAATTTGGCAAAGGAAAAGGCGTGAAGAGCAATATGCTCGTCTGCTAAAGTTGTTTGAAGAGGATGATGAGCTCGAAGTCGAACTTGGCCTTCGGGATTGAATCCATTCCACGTGTTTTATTCAATGTATCATGGTGAGACTCTTGATGTTTATGTTAACAAAAGGCTTTCTTCTGTACTTCCAAGCTTTGAGTTCAGCAATTTTGGCGTTATAACTAACCTTTCTTTCATTGGTTTAGATATGTGCCATATGTAACTAAGCCCTTATATCTTAGGCACATTGTTTATAACTTTACATTATAATTTACTTATCTAAATATTGTTGATTGCCAACTAAGTGAACCCCCACACTGGATCCCCGAGAAGAGCTGTTTGATTATTTTGTATCAATAATCTCGTTTTCTTGCTCACACATAGATCCCGGTGACTTGCTTCTTTTGATTGGGTGTTAATCCTACTATTCATTTACGGTACGTTTGGTTCACGAAATAGGCTTGGAATGGAATAACATTCCCAGGAACAAGCCTATTCCGTTGTTTGGTAATGCTTTTAGTTCCTAGGAATATTGTTCCCGGGAATGAGCTATTCCCCTTGCAAGGGGAATAGAGATTCCAGGGGGCGAACTTAGGAATAGCCTAAAGTTGCTATTTCCTAATTTACCCCCCAATAAATCTAAAATTTGATTCTATGGTGTTTAATTTTTTTTATATTCCTTGCTTATTCCATTCATTATGAAATATCATTCCTATTACCTCAAAATTTATTCCGTGAACCAAACGTGTTGTTAATTCACTATGTTGTACCTTGTCTTGACCTCATTCTTCGTCTCCTTTTCGGGGGGAAACATCCCGAGACTTGAATTCATGACTGTATGCTTTTGCGCAGATGAAAGTAGCAGGTCACGTTGGGAAATATGCACTCCGATGACCACAGGCAGGTTAGGGCTATTATTGCCCGAGGCTTTGAGGCCATGTGAGACATTTTCATTTCCCAAGTATAGCATATTATTAGCGTCACGATATCTCAAAACGGAGGACTTGGTCTGTGAAAGTCGTTAACTAGTGGCAGAAGGAGTGTTCGTTCATGCCAGACAGCCAAAGTTTTCACTATCTCGTTTCATTGTTCATTTGTATGTTTCCTCTGTAGTGTTTGCCATTTTATTTTTTATTTTTTATTTCTCTCTTGTGAACTAGGTTTCTGAAAGTTTATCAGTTGATCTTAGGAAATGACAGACATTTCTTACTGATCTCGTTTGTGCTTACAGAATTTCCAACCTTGTTTCAAGTGCACATTTATGATAATGGTGTAACTTGTAAAGATTGGGAATCTTTCATTGATGGAAGTTTTGTGTTTATTTCCAACCTTCTTGTTTCAAGTGCACGTTTATGATAATGCTGTAACTTGTAAAGATTGGGAATCTATAATTGATGGAAGTTGTGTGTTTATTTCGTTTTGTGCAATTGTAATTAAGATTCAGTTGCATTGTATACCCTTTTTTTTCTCCTCCCAAATGGTTGAATGCCCAAGCCTAAGGGTCCCACATCCTGCGCGACATAATGTAAATCATGGTGGCTCAGCAGATATGGCCAAATGTTTGTGCACGCAAAGAATCTGCACACTTTGAACATAACTCCACACTTTTGTTGTTGAAGTTTGAACTTTGGTCTTTTCTCCAAATACTCCTTACTGAACTAATGAGCTAAAGCTCGTGTGGGATTTTATTTTTATTATTATTATTTTTTGGTGTGTGTGTGTGGAGGAAAACTCGTTTGCACTTGAGACGATATAATTTACCCATTTATTTTATTGTTAAGTGTGGAAGCAAATCATTCAAAGGATGCCATGATTAAGGGAAAATTGCACTTTTGAGTTTTGACACATTAATTATAATAATATACTCTTGTTTCTCCTTGTTATCTTCGAAAATGAAATTTTACTTCTTTTTTTTTTAATGTTACTGACTCTATTACATTGTAGTATCTGTTTAAACATACTTTCTCAACCTATTAAAGTACAAAGAGTAGTATCTGTTTAAACATTGATCTCATGACCTCCCATATGGAAGAGGTCACTACATGCCATATGAGCGCAAGGTGCTTGGCTGACACGTGACTATTGTGATTGTGAATTTTTGCCTAAACAGATAACCAGTTGATTTATGAATAGTAGATTGTTGGCAAGAATACACGATCAAGCTATGAAAGCCGTAATGTAGGAGTTACACTTGTGGTTGGTTCCTCATGAGCACTAGGCACTAACCCTCTCACGTAATAGACAATTGAGTTACTGTGATGTATTCTCCACTATCCTATCGAAACATAATGTGAATGATGTAGTTAATATGTGCGTATATTATGTAATACAGTGCTAGGGTCAGTTTCGGCTGCAGTCCCTTTACCTAGTATGCTTGTCGGTTTAAGTTAAGAAGCTCAAAATGCTTGATAGTGGGTCAGAAGTTTCCGAGCTAACAGTTAGCGTGTAGAAATAGCCAAACGTCCCTCCCAATAACCATTAGTGTGGTATTTATAGGAAAGAGGGGAACATGCTCTAGTCTAATGGCATGTACGGCACGTGCTCAGACCGGGGCCCAAGGCGACTTGACCACGTGTCCCAATATTCATGAGTTTATTGAGGGTGTTGCTGATGCGTTCTGCCAGTGGATCCAAGTCAATAGGTCGGGACACAATGACTACTATAGCGTATGCATACAGTCCCCTATTGCTGAACGCGGGAGGAAACACGATTGGGAAGGCAAGCGTATCATGTCGGTTTACATGAGACCGAGCCTTATTCTAATAGTAGGTCAGTTATCGACCACCCTCTAGATACAATCGGTGCGAAATAATTCCCATTAGTGAAAAACCTAGGGACAATAAAGTTTCGTCTTTTGTCGACAAGTGAATAGGTAATTGTAGATTTTATTAGTCACCTCACAAAATTTAAAACTTTTAAAAAATATTTATTATTTTATTCACGAGGTTGGAATCCAATACTTTCTTTAAAAGAGAAATTAAATACGAGATATTAATACCCCCATGTTGTTGTTATTTCTTGGGAAATGAATAAATGACATCAACGAGATGGCTCAACCAATAAGATTCAAGAAAACATGGCTTACGTTAGCCAGGCGTTGAAGAAGTGAAGCTGCGCAGGTTAGCAAGGTCAAGGCGCTGAACTAAACGACGACGTTTACCCCATGTACCCATATTATTATACCCGTATATACATACAGGTACCGATTTATACCCAACAGCTTTAGGCTTTAGCAAATCCAGACGAGGAAAAGCGACGCATGCTTTGACAACACAACTGCGTGTGTATAACTACACACACACACACACACACACATATATATATATATATACACACAATCCGCTTTCGCACCGATTTCTCTCTCTAAAGCGCTTCTCTATGTTCGACTTTCTCTCTCTCTAGTTCTCTCTCTCTCGTGAATGGCCGTTATCTCTCCCACTTGGAAATTAGGGCTCGGAATTGTTGTGATCCCCCGGGGAAACTACGCCGCGAACAAGATGTGATTTCCCTAGAGCTTAGCGGTTAATTTTGTGCGAAATTCGTTTTTTACCCCCCCGGTTAATGTTTTGTGGTTTGCCTAGGGTTTCTGAGCTGTAAGTGTTGTTGCGCATGAAGGGCCCGTTAGATCGAACGAAGATTGTGCTGCGGCACTTGCCGCCGGCGCTTCCCCGTTCTACGCTGTCTGAGCAAATTGATTCTCGCTTTTCTGGTCGCTACCACTGGCTCTCCTTTCGGCCTGGGAAAACCAGGTCAGAGTCTCTTTATGACAACTTTATATTTATGTGCACGTTTCTTTCCTTGCTTGTGGTTGGGTGGAGTAAATTTTAATGCTGGTTGTAATTTTTGTCTAATAGTTGGGACTTGGGAGTTGAGGGTTGAATTGTTTTTAGGAGTTTGTGTTGACTTTAAAGTGAGTGAATTTGTGTGGGATTCCAGCTTCTGAAGATGTTATAGATTTGGAAAGCATTGTATGCTGGTCATATTTGGTTGGTTAAGCTTGTTTTTGGCACTTCTCATGGTTAGATATGTGAGCTGAAAGGTTGGAGCAGCACGTATGGGAGAGAGGATTTATGATATAGGGTGGAGTGGAGGGAGAAGGCAGTTTGTTTTTTGGGAGTAAGATGGAGGGAAGAATATGGGATTGCAATAGATTCCTTTGCAGATTATCATGGAAAAAAGAGGAAAAATGATTGAAATTTTTATCACCATATGCCGGGAGCTGCTGCTGTGTGTTGTGTAGCAATAAATGCACTGTAGTTTATTGATTTCCTGCACTTTTCTAAGTTACTTGGTTTTGGTTTTTCCTGCACTGTGTGTTGGTTTTGGTTTTTACTGTTGCATTTGGACATGTCTTCACCTTTTGATGTTAGAGATGTGCATGAGGTTTCTGGTTACCTCTGGGCTTATAGTTGTGCTGGTTTTTAATGCACCCCAGTCTTTTTCGTTCCCTCTTCCTCTCTCTCTCTCCATTTTATGGGCAATGATACTCAATTTTTTTGTATTTTCATATTTTGAACTTTAAGAGGCTATGGCTTACTTTTCCTAGATTTTATAACCTTTAGTTAGAAATAAATAAATGGTGTAATATTGTTTTTCAGTTAATGGTTGTCACAGGGTTCCACCTGAATGAGATCCATTTGTTTGAACTTTTACCTGAATAGTAAGCATTATACTGCATTACAGGCAATCATTTTTCATGACTTGTTTTTTTCGGCATTATTGATTTTTGCCAAGCTTGTTAGTGGCATGTGCCAGTTAAAAAAATGAAATTTCTTTTAATGGGTTTTGGTTTGAGTGTGGATTTTCTAGATATTTGTCACTTCAAGGATTCTACAGTGCTTATTTATAATTTAGTTATTGGTGATGATACATTGTTCTCCATTCGTGTATATCTTTAAAATTTTCTTCTCATATATACTGTTATGCAGATTGAAAAAATAGAAATGAGAATGGCAACACACTTATTGGGTGGTAGTTATAATTCTTATTTTGGGTGGGTGGGCTGATTTTCTGAGCTTTTCCTAATTTGTTTTTGGTCTTATTGTCATAATTAAATGATACCTTGATAGTTATTAATTATTTCCATTTCAAACCCCACCTCTCCTTTGCTTCCATCTTCCACTTCCGGCTTCCCAAGAAGCAAAGATTAGAGTTTGATCAATGCCACAATCAGAAATTTCATTTTCTCTTTATATAAGCTTAAGAGTAGATGGTTGTGTCATTTATACTGAACTTGTAACTATTAGGTGTTTAGTTCTGTGGAAAGGTCTTGCTGACATCATTTTTCTCTTAATGATTACTTTGCAGCCAAAAACATCAACCTTATTCAAGAGCATATATTAACTTTAAGACACCTGAAGATGTTGTTGAGTTTGCAGAGTTCTTTAATGGACATGTCTTTGTTAACGAGAAAGGTATAGGATAGTTAAAAAAGATCCATTTGATAATTCTCTCTCAGTTAAATCTTGATTCTTTATTTTAGTTTCTACCTTAGTTTGTGCAAATTAATTTTTAAAACTGAGTTCTATGTTGTTTTTGTTTGTATGCATTTAATGGTCCTTCCTTTTTGTAACAGGGTCTCAGTTCAAAACAATTGTTGAGTATGCCCCTTTACAGCGTGCTCCAAGGCAGTGGTCTAAGAAAGATGGCCGTGAAGGGGCTATCTTGAAAGGTATTGAAATGGTGTACTGATTCATGTGGCATGCATGCTATCTCGTTCATTTCTACAGCCACGTATAATTTTTCTATGGACTTGTAGATCCTGAATATCTGGAGTTCCTAGAATTTATTGGAAAGCCTGTTGAGTATCTTCCTAGTGCAGAAATTCAGTTGGAAAGAAAGGAAGCTGAACGTTCAGGTTTGTTATAACATCACCAAATTGGAATCTGACTTGTAAAATGAGATATACTGAGCTAATCCTTAATCCCAGCTCTAAAATGAGACTATGGGATAAATAATTATGAGTTTGGATTTTAAGATGTGGAACTCAAAGTTTGCCAATTTATGGTTTTCAGGTGCTGCTAAGGATGCCCCTATAGTTACTCCCTTAATGCATTATGTGCGTCAGAAACGAGCTGCAAAAAGTGGGGCTCGGGTAGGATATCATAGTGAACCAGAGTCATTATTTTTCTTCAGTGTTAGCCATATATGGAGTATTTGATTTTGTGCTAATGACAGTTTATAATATCATAATGAAATTAGTCTTCAAATCTTCTTTAAGTGTTAAGAAGTCCAATAATCTTTTTTGCCCTCAATATTTGACAGAGGGTATCTAATGGAAAATCAACCAGAAGGGTTGGAGGAGCATCAACAGGAAGTCCTAGCTCTAGTGCATCTAAGCGAGGCTCAGAAAAGAGGAGAAATTCTACAAAAATGGTATGCCGTTTTCCTTTTATTTTATTTAATTTATGTCATGG